CCCATCCTCCAGTTGTTTGCCGGCAAATATCAGACGCTGCTGGTCAGGGGGGATGCCCTCCTTGTCTTGGATTTTGGCTTTGACATTCTCGATGGTGTCACTGGGCTCAACCTCGAGGGTGATGGTCTTGCCCGTCAGGGTCTTCACAAAGATCTGCATGTCTGCGTCTGCCACTCGGCCGCCTCGTTGAAGAGAAAGAGGGCGACGGACAGCTTTTTACTTTCTTTTGATGTACTTTTTAAAAATTTAATTTGTGCCTTAATAACACATAATGCTGTATTTATGAGTCCATTAGGGCAGCTATAGCAGAAATGGCCTAAAGAAAAATCTATTCTGACAGTTGTGGACTGGGAAAGTCTCAGCTCAAGGCTTGGGCTGAGTCAGCTTCTGTCAGAGCTGCTTCTTACACAGCTGTCTTTCACTGTTACGGCCTGTGGCCAGAGGGCAAGAGATCCCTATGGGTATCTTTCACAGAGGCTCTTGGATTGGTAGCATACCCTGTCTTCTATACTTAAAAAAAGAAAAAAGAAAATTAGAAAGGCACTAATCCCATTTATGACAGCATAACCCTCATGGTTTGATCACCTACCAAAGGCCCCACATCCTAACACTATCGATTTAGGGGTTGGGTGTTAGCATCAGGATCCAGGGGTGGCATACAGAGACATTCTGACCACGGAAAAAGTTGGCAGTTTTGGTGTTGTTTGTGTGTTTACTCCTGTGCATCTTCTTCAGTGAGGTGTTTGATCAGGTCTTCTGCTCATTTTTAAATTGGGCTTTTTTTTTTTACAGCTGAATTTTGAAGAGTTTTTTGTGTATTTTCAATTAGGTCCCGTGTATCTTTTTTTTTTTTTTTTTTTTCCGGAACCGGGGATTGAACTCAGACCCTTGCGCTTGCCAGGGAAGTGCTTATTCTACTGAGCCATCTCCCCGGCCCCCCTGGGGAGATGTATCTTTTGTGTATATTTTTTCCCAGTCAATGCCTCATCTTTCTTTCTTTCTTTTTCTCTTTTTTTAAAATCTTTTTTATGTATTTAATACAGAGTCTACAGGGTTTCACAACACAGATACACAGATCGGATTTGTAGTGATCATCCTGTTTTCAGCTTTCCAAGAACTGGGATTAGAAGTGCGTGCCACCATGCCCAGTCTCAATCACTGTCTCAGTATGCCCCGAAGTAGGGCCTGCACGGCACACCAGGGATCAAACTGCTCTCTGTATGTCTCATCTTTCATTCTCAGTGTTTCTCACAGAGCCTAGATTTTTATTTTTAATTGTTTTTGGCAATTGTTGAACTCAGGGCTTTGCACTGAGTTACATGCCTAGTCCTTTATATTTTTTATTTTATTTATTTTTCTTTTAGCGGTACCAGAGATTGAACTCAGGAACTTGCACTTGCCAGGCAGGTGCTTATGCCATATATTTTTTATTTTTTAATTTTTTTTTGAACCAAGGGTTTTCTAAGTTGCCTAGGCTAGGCTCATGCTTATGTTTTTCCTGCCTCAGCCTCTCAAAATACTAAGATAACAGCCTGTGCCACTCTTCCTAGTTAGATTTTTAATTTTAAAGAAGTCTAGCTTATCAGTTATTTCTTTTGCGAATCATAGCTTTGGAGTTGTATCCAAGAAGGCTACTTTACTGGGGGTCATCTAGATTTTGTCCTGTCTTCTACCACTTTTGTAGTGTTGCATTTTATGTTTAGGTTTGTGATGTGCTTTTGTTTTCTGTGAAGGATCTGTGTTTAGATTCAGCTTTTTTTTTTGATGTGGCTATTTGGCTCTTCCAGTACCCATTTTTGAAAAAACTGTCTTTTGTCTGATGTGTTTCCTTTGTTCCTGTATCAAAGATCAGTGGTATTTACACAGGTCACAGGTGTTTTTTTTTAAACACTTTAGTCTTTCTTTAAACTCTTTTTTAATCTTGTACTTATTACATGTGCTGCTGAAGTCAGCACAAATCTTTCATTTATTTATTTATTTGGTACAGGGTCTCGCTCTGCGGCTGGGACTCGTGGTGATCCTCCTGTCTCAGCCTCCCCAGCACTGGGATTATAGGCATGCACCACCACACCCAGTTTCAGTGGCCAGCACAGCGCACCTGGGGCTCCAGGGCCAGCACGACATGCAGTATCGAGAATCGAACCCCGGTCCTTGCCCTTGCCAGGCAGGTACTTAGACTGCCAAGTTATCTCCTCAGCCCTCGTTTAGTTTTTTAGATATGGTCAAATGTGTCAGCACTAAAAACAAAAAAAAAATTTTTAAAGTATGTTCTGTTTTATTAAAATGATTCCCTAGCTCCTCCCACCCCGCCTGCTCGGCGGCGGAGGCGGCGGCAGCGGCAGCGGTTGTTCCTG